AACCAGGAAACTGTGACTGTGGCAGTGCTGTAGTACCTTTGTTAGTACACTCTAATCTGCTTATGTAACAAGACTTTGGTTAAATATGATCAACCAAACATCATTCCATGAATCCTTGAAGGTTTCCCTGAAAGTACGGGTTATTGTGTCCACTGCCTTTTGTTCCTGAAGAGGTTTAGGTTAGTCTGCAAGAGAAAAATACAGGTGCACATATATATTATACTATATAGAGATAACCTTTATGTAAGTTATTCAGTGAGACTGAATCATGGTACTGTGCTATTCTGCATGGCTTCTTTTGCAGCTTTCATTGCCATGGTACCCAAGTGACTTCTAGTAGTACATTAAGCAATGTGCCTGTCACTCGTCAAGAGAGTTCACTTCATCTCTCCTCCTTTCCCTTGTACAGGGAATAGGAGCTTTCAGCTTTTCTTTTTAATCTTTCTGAGTGAAATATCTCAGTCACTAGACTTGACTGAGTGAATGATGATGGAACAGTTTGTAACTTGCTGTCTGTAATGAAACCAATTAAACCAACTCTAAACTACACTTCCATTTCACACTAAATGCATCAGTTCTTCTTATCTGAGAAGACAGATGTATTTTCAGATTATGTACTAAAAAAGGTTCACAGAAGGGAGATAATAAGAAGGTAAAAGTTGCAATTTTTGTATCATCAGTCAGGGTTATATATTTTTTACTTCAAAAGAATGAAAGATTAACACATGTACAAGTCAGATAAAACTCAGTGGTGGGTTGACCCTGACTGGATGCCAGATGCCCACCAAAGATATTCTATCACTTCCCTCCTCAGCTGGAGATGGGAGGCAAAATATAAGGAAAGGCTTACATGTCAAGACAAGGACAGGGAGAAATCATTCACCAATTACCATTACAGGTAAAAGAAACTCACCTTGAGGAAAATTAATTTAATTTTTTATCAATCAAGTCAAAGTAGGATAATGAGAAATAAAATTTAAATCTTAAAACACCTTCCCTGCAGTGGCACAGGGGGACAGGTAACGGGAGTAGCGATCAGTTAATCACATGTTGTGCTGCTCCTTCCTCCTCAGGGAGAGGACTCATCACAGTCTTCCCGTGTTCCAGTGCAGGTACCTTCCATGAGGTGCAGTGCGTCAGGAACAGGTTGATTCAGCAGGAGTCCCCTTCATGGTCTCAAGTCCTGCCAGCAAAGATGCTTCAGCGTGAGGTCCTTTTTCCCCGGGGCCACAGGTCCTGCCAGGACCCTGCTCCAGTGTAGGCTTCCCATGGAGTCACAGCCCCCTTTGGGCACCCACCTGCTCTGGCACATGGTCTTCCAGGGGCTGTAGGTGGATCTCTGTTCCACTGTGTGCCTCCGTGGCCTTCAGGGGCACAGCTGCCTCACCATGAGCTGCACCATGGGCTGCAGGGCAATCTCTGCTCCAGAGCCTGGAGCACCTCCTCCCCCTCCTTCTACACTGACCTTGGTGTCTGCAGGGCTGTTCCTCTCACATGTTCTCACTCCTCTCTCTGCCTGCAGTTGCTCTTGTGCAGTAATTTTCTCCTCTTCTTAAATCTGTTATCCTGGAGGAGCTACCACCATTGCTGATGGGCTCAGCGTTGACCAGTGGTGGGTCTGTCTCGGAGCTGGCTGGCATTGGCTCTATCATACATGGGGGAGGCTTCTGGAAGCTTCTCACAGAATCCATCCCTGCAGCCTCCCTCCTTCCACTACCAAATAACACACAAACTATGGGAAATACTGCCGTGAAGATCTGATAACTTTTTCCAGAACAGCAATTTCATTGTAATTCAATTTGCAGTTTAAATGTCTAATAAAACACTGCATAAATATCAATAATGGCTAATTCATTAAAAACAGCATATGTTCGTCTTTGCAACAGAAATACCAACGCATTAGCAAAGCTAGAGTAATATATACATTTCATTTTGGTGTTGGAAAGGCCTGCAAGAAAGGTAATGAATAGTTAAAGTAGTACTCTAATAAGAGTCTCCTTCCTTGTCTCTCACAGAAGGAAAGAACCACTCCTTGCTTCTTCATCTAAGCATCTTGGCATCACAAGTAATTCTCTTTAACCTCACTAGCTTTCAGATAGTTACAGAATGGAATCATCATCCCCACACTATTACTCAAAAAAGGAAATAGATTCAAGTTCACTCCTCTGCCCTGGAACCATTCCAAAACAAATGTATCAAAAGGACTGTAAGTACAACAGGACACACCACCTTTAGCCAGGGTTCCCATCATCTTGTGACTCAGACATCAGAAGATCTGTGCTTATCTGACCTCTAGTAGAAGTATATCCCACTCCTACAGTGCTGCATGTTTTTACCCTGTAAACAGACAATGGAGACTAGAGAACTGCTACAGTATGTTGAAAGAGAACTTTTAAAAATATAAATCAGGTTGAAAAGATTCAGAATTTCAGCTTAGCATCCTTTTCTCTTTCAAAGGTGCTGAACATTTTATGTTCCTATGACTTGGTCTGCCCAATGTTTCTGAAAAATCACACAGCTGTGTCATCACTGCAAGTTATGAGTGTGGCTACAGAATTTGTGAAAAGTTTGGGACCTACGAGAAAGTAAGAGTACCTCTTGGAATACCAGAACTTATGAAGCTGAAATAAGAATGAAGACTAAGGAAGGTTTGGGATGTAGGAAAGGCTGCAACTGAGAAAATGAGAAATGTCACCTGGAAGCTGAGAGAGATGCACAACTATCATGGGGAAGATGGGAAATAATACTAGGGGCACTCAAACAGTAAGAACAAGATTGAAGGAAGCAGCAAAATAAAATAGAGAAAGTGTCTATGAAGGCTCTGAAATTAAAGGTAGGATGATATTAGCTTTAAGAATGAAGAAAATATTCCAGAGGGGAGCAAAAGAAGAACAGAGGGAGGGGGGTAAAAAGGTGGCTGGAAGAAAAGATTTGAAACATCAGTCTAATATCAAATAGACTAGTTGACATGAAAGGGAGAAATAAAAAAAACCTTCAAATATTTTGGGAATATAGAAAAAAACATTAAGTGGAGAAGCACTGTATCTTCATAACAGAGTAGAACAAGTGAAATTAAATGGTTATGCACAAGAGCAGTGGAATATATTAAAATTCCTCCCATCACAAAATATTCTGTTTCTGGCAAACAATTTTCTTACAATAAAAATGTGAGATATTATCAACAACGTATTTCTCAAATGCAAAGACTGCACATAACTTTGTAATATCTGTTTTTATAGTTATATGAAATAAGAATCAGCATGAGAACTATAAAATACACGTGGTATCATTGGTACTAAACCTCCTATTTAAAACAAAATATTCTTTAACAGAAAAAAATTATTTACAAAGAAAGGAAGATTTCTAAAACCCATTAGAGAGTGATTTTAAGAGCCATAACTAGGAGGACAGAAGAAATTTCAGAAATTTGACTGCAGGTATTTCTGAACCTCCTCTAAAGACCACATAAATGAGCTGTGGATCTCTTTATACACCTTCTCCTCTTGCAGTTCAGTAGGTGAAACGAGTCTCAGAGGCTCAGGCACTTGTTAAAACCATGGTCTGGCAAGGGCTGGTGGAGAGTACAGGCAATGTATGCCTGCTTTGCAAATGACAGTACTGGGGTTAGCCCAGTTATTTTCTCAACACATCACCAAGTCAGGGGAAGGTGTGCATGCCTAAAGAGTATAGGGCTGTGTGCTGTTCCAACACAAACACTGGCAAGAATTTCAATATGTGAACATAGCCAGGAATGAGGGAGCAATTTTATTTAGATGCACTAATTTTTTAACTGTACATTTACATCATTTAAGTCTAAATATTCCCTTATGAAATAGCAAGTATTATGTTTAATGTGAAAGATGCCTATAGGTCATATGTTATCTCTTCAGTGCCTTACATTGTTTCCTAGTAAAGTTGTAATTATGTTATATTTCAAGTATTACAATGTATCTAAGTAAAATATCATCCAACAAAGTGCTACCAGTGAAACAGAATTGAGAAATACAAGTGAACTGAGTTTTGCTAAAGGTTATTACTGCAAAACTATTGGGTTTGGGTTGGTTTTTTTACTATGATATGTGATATTTTGCCCCTGCACTTAACTGAAATTATTAGAGGTGATTCAAAACTGGTTCTTCACTGAAACAAGTGAACAGCACTTGTAAAAAGATGTTTCAGAGAGCCTGAAAAGGAAATGGAATTTGCAGGGAAATATTTCAATTTCTAGGGAAGACTTAAAGTTGCAGATTTTCTGCGTTTGCTGGGTTAGCATTAATTTTCACTTACGCTCTTCCTAGACCACTTACACCAGAGCAACAGCACAGAGCAGGCTGAATTGCCAAGCCACAATAAAGTCGAGAGCTCTGCTCCCCAGCCGCGGGAGCCACTGTCGGTCGCTCTGCCGGTCCTGCCTAATTCCCAAGGGAGGTTTCGGTGGGATTCATTGTAGACCACCCCCCGGGCGTGCTGTAGGAGAGCGGCGGAGGCTGGCCTTGCCCCCGCCGACACGGTCAGTGGGACATGGCCCCTCTCCGGGGCAGCGCTCCCGTGCAGGGCTGCCCAGGGGGCTGCGCCGTGCGGTCGCAGGTGAGGCGGTGTCACGGCCAGCTCCGCTGTGCGGGGGCGCTGCGGGCCCGGCCGCCACCGCCGTGCGGGGCAGGGGCGGCGGGAGCCGGGGGGCGGCGCGGAGGGGCACCGAGCGCCCCGAGAGGCGCGCGCCCAGCCCTCCCCACCTCCCGCCCCTTCTCCGCCCGGCGGGGACAGCCGCGCCAGGCTGACCGCCGCAAACTTTCCTGCTCCCGCTCCGAGCTGCGCCTCGCCTCCGGCACGGCGGGCGGCACCGACTGCCCGTGACCCCTCGGCGCCGGGGCACGCAGGGAGCGGCCCCGCCGCGCTGCCCGCCGCCCGGGGGACGCGGAGCTCCGAGGGGACACCCGAGCGCGCCGGTCCCGTGCGGCGGCGGCTGCCCGGGGGAGCAGCGCCCCGGCCGCGGGACAAACATGAGCCAGGCGCAGCCCTATGGCCCCGCGGAAGAGCAGCTCCCCGGCGCCCGGGACCCGGAGGAACGACAAGCCAGGACTACCTGCTGCTGGATGCGGAGCCCTGCGAGGAGAGTGCCCTGCCGCCCTACGCCTTCTACCCCGTGTGAGTCCCGCCGGCCGGAGCCGGGGATCCCTCCCTCTCCCCCTGCGCTGGCGCGGAGCTCTGCGCTGCCTCCCGCGGGAAGGGGGGAGGCGGCGGCGGGATAGGTGGTGGCCGGCGGGGGGCACGGCGGGGGGCTGGGGCTGAGCCCACGGCAGGGACCTGTCATCTTCCCTCGCCCTCTCCGGAGGACGAGCGGGGTGTTTGTGTTTGGGAAAGGCGGAGGAGCAGCGTTGGCACCGCCGTGCCCAGCTGGCACCTGTGTCCTCCTCTGCGCAGCCCGTGGTGCCTGCCCCGCTGTAAGGGATGCGAAGGGTGGCTTGGGTTCAGCTGTGTAGAGTGGGGCGAGAGACGTCGGTTGTACATAAACCCAGTAGATACCGTCAGTTTTAATATAATTACAGAAATTTTACCTCCTGCAATCGGTTGCTCCCACTGAGAGAGTGCACATTGCAAGCATATGCATAAACCTGTCTTCCTTTCATTACTGTATTTCATCAGTCATATAGCCTCACATAATTTCATTATGCGAGTTTTGGCGGGTGAGTTTTGCCAAGTAGTTATCATTTAAAAGCAAGGTATAACAACATATGCAATAAAGCTAAATTACATAAGCATAAATTACAAAGGTTCCATGAACCACAACTTTTTAACATCCAGGTCGCTTAATGTTCAGTGTTGATAGTGTCCTTCTGGTTATGTGTGGTTAGCATGACTTCTGTAATTACCACTTGTTAATACCTCTGAGGAGAAGCTATCCCACAGAGGGGGAAAATGGATATTAAGCAGTGTAAGATGAGTCCTAAAATCTCAGATGATTACCAGAAGATGTGTACTTTCCTTTGTACAAATGGTATTTTGTTGCTTAACTGGTAAATTTCTATTATCAGTCTTTTCCTAATATTTGCTGCTTTATCTTTGAGCAACTTACCAACCACTTGCCAACTACCTGGGTATAGGCAAGGAATAAAAGCAATGAAACTGGGAACACTCACAGTTTTTGAATATTTATAAACTCAGCTAAGAACATCCAGTGTTTTCAGAATTCACTGCTGTTATGGCTATTCCTAAGTGTCTTTGTGGATCACTAATTCACTATGCTCATGTAGCTATAACAGTATACATTATGGCACATCGGACTTAAACCTCATCTCAAAATATATGAACACACCTGTTTAATGAATCCTTTCAGAAGAAAAAACCTTATGATGGTTAGTTCAGAGATTGGTTCTCGCCAGTAGACTTCAGCTTGAACTAATATGGCAATTCTGAAGTTCCTTTGCCGTTTACTCATTCAGAATGGTTGTGCAGCTGTGAAAGGATAGATGTCACATAAACGTTTCAAAGCTTCTCTTAAAAAAAAAAATCCACAAGTCTGTGGGGTGCTGCTGTCTTAACTTCAGGAGTATAAGGTCTTGGTCCAGCACACTCCCAGCGTGGAGCTTGCCTCTCATGATCCCACAGTGGCCAAAAGGAAAGCCTGCATCCCGATCAAGTTGCTCTATGGAACAAGGGTAGCACTAAACACAGAAATTTATCTCCAATTATGTCATGTCAGGGCCCTAGATGACTGCTTCTGTTATACAGGTAAGTCCAGTACCCTGGAGTCCCTCACTGATAGAAGATGTTTCCATCAGTCTTTGAGAGAATAGACAGAAGCTACCTGATATGCATAGAGGGTGTAAATTGAGAAATGTACCCCTTCTCAAATTTATATAATCACTGCTTAAAAAGGGTGCTTTAGTAGGCAGTGCTTTTTTTTGCGTGCATGTTAGGTGTGGGAAGCTGTCCTTTGGGGTTTCTCTGGATATGGAAAAGAACCACTTCACATACATCCATAGACAATGCCTACATATGACCACTGCCAGGAGTTCCTTGGCTGACAGGGATGAATGCAGTGAGTAAATAGGCTCCTCCAGGATACAGTGATTACCAAGCACAGTTTCTGAATTTTCCTGCCTAAATTCCACCTCCATCACATTTGAGGTACATTTTGCAGATCTGTCTTTTCAGCCAGAAGACATTAGTTTTGTTAGTGGCCTTCATAAGACCAAACATATCAGATGGGCAATGTTTCGGATATAATTTTTTTTACTCTTTATCATTTACATTCAGTAATAACACTTTTATCTACTTTTTTAAAAAATCCTCAAATTACCAGTATTTCCTGATACTATTATGGTGATTAATGCAGAGTACAGCTGATGTCCAAAAAAAGCTGAGTTGTACCTCCTTTTAAACATTGCTGAGAGGGTAACATGCTTACTGGTGTAATAGTAATATGGCATGTGACTATTGCTTCAAAAGTAGTTTGATACTAAGGAATAGTTTTTCTCAAGTGGTGATTTAGTGCTAATGCTGACTGGGTGTGTTGTTTGTAGAATATATTTTTCATATGTTGTTTTGTGACTGCTGTTAAGTGATATAGTGGCTGGATAATACTAAACATCCAAACCATTTATGGAGAACCATTTCTGGTAGTTTTAGCTCTTCTTTCTGGAGAACAGTTCTATTGTGTCCAAGATAGCCACTACCTTTGTTGTAAGCAAGACTTCAAGACTGTACCTTGACCTCGTCAGCTGTGCCAGTAGGGTCACACTGTCTTGTAGCAATGGATAGAAGGTTTTTACCTTTATTTGTGGTATGGTGCAAAACAAAATTCTAATGGGATTTTGTGCTGAAAAATCTTGCTTTTCTTTTGAATTCAGAACCTTTTTGATAAGAGAACCACAATTTGAGCAATCTGTAGAATTCTTTTTAAAAATTTAATAATTATGTGTTATAAATTATATACAAGAAATACTTTCTTCCTAATAGTCCTCTTCCATCTTGTCATCAAGTCTTGCCACTTATGTATCAAAAAACATTGCAACCTATATGTCAGAAGATTGACTCCTGAAATGCAAAAATGTGGATATGTTGTTTTTTTCCCTCTTGTGCAAGTATTTCATTGGCAAAGAGCCCCATTTTAAGTTTTAAAATAGAATGGAAAGTACATTTTAAGGTCTAACTCCAAATCCTAGTGCTGATGTGCAATGGGATTTGAAAGTGATAGCACTTGTATGTAAACTTCCCCACTGAACAAATGTTATTGAAGAACAGATTGTTAGTTTATTAAACTAGTGAGAAGACACTAATTCAGTCAGACATCTGCTTATATTGCTTATTTATACTTTAAAGTATTTTGTATTGTGAAAAATAAATGTTTTCTTATACATGTGAGGAGGGATAATTGTGTATTAAAATGTCAGTTGTAAAGTAAATGAGGCACACAAATTATCAGATGAAAACAGGGGAAGAAAGGTTCTGTTGTGCATAACTGTCTTGAAGGTATAGATTATTCCTCAGTGTTTGTGGTTTTCTCATCAAGTGTTTCTTGGCATTATCAAACCTAGTACATTTAAGACCCATTCTTTGTTAAATAATATGTTTTACGATTTCTTTTCTGCCTGCAATATAACAGTGTTTGCTATTGACAGCATAATTTTTATCTCTAGTCTCAACTGTCTTGCTTGAAATGACCTGTAAAATTATCTTCCAGAATCTTCATTAGACATAATCTCTTCAGGGAGTACTGTACAATGTGGCAGCTGTGTTTCAGATTGCCAGTCTCTTTGCTGAGATGTTATATCTTCTGAAAATATGCTGTACTAGTTTTGTTGAGATGAAAAAGGTAAAAGAGTTGATATGGACGGGGGTCATTTCCTTTTATAGCCTAGTGTATGGAACACTTTCCTATGATTTAGGATGATTTAGGATGGATCTACATAGTAGTGGGCACTGGAAAAAAAATATCATGTCTGAATCTCTCGTATTCTGAGTGACTGAATGTAGTCCCTGAGGTCTTGAGTAAAAGAACAACACCATTATTTCCAAGGCCCAGAAAATGCAGCCTTTAGTTTGCATTGCATATCCTACCAGTATTAAGAAAATGCTTCACTTTCAACGTTAAGCATATCTTTATTTCAGTTAGGCTTTTTTCCCCACATATGTTAATTTCTGGCGAAGGCCTGTGGAATTTCTTGGGTTTGGTTGTTAGGCACTTTTGTGTTCACTATGTACACTCACTAATTTAACAGTGAGTGTCAGCTATAATATGTGAACAGTTTCCTATGCTCATACTTCATAATCAATTTTGCTTGAGCCATTGCAATATATCTGTAAGTTTATTTATACCCTAGCTCTTACATAGTTACCAAACAAATGAAAGTCACCTCCCTGTGGGACCTAATTTTATAAAACTGGAAGATTTCCATGAAAATATAACTCATTTTTTAAATTTACGTGAGGAAGGTGGGGTAGTGATTAAGAAATGTGTGGGATGTATATGGGATACTTTTCACTGTAAATGTTAATAACAAGCATGCTCTTTGTCAAACACTCTCCCAGCAGTATTTGCCACCAGAGAAGCTGAAGGTTGTAATAACTGGCTACTTGAAGAATTCCTGCCAACTATTGGTATCCCCAAATAAAGGCAACTTGGCATGGTGGGTCTGCGTCATCAAGCTGCGTTAGACTTTCCAGCTTTGTAAACATGAACAAAAGAAAATTTTGGCAGTTAAACTGTATTCATGAAATTCTTTATAACTTAGTTTCATATTTCAAGCTGTGATACAGTCCAGGCAATGACATAGCAAAAAGCTTCAAACTTAAAGTGCATGCAATGAGTCTTACATACATGTTTGTGCACATGTGAGTGTAGCCACTCGCACACAGGGTCTACTCAATGGGAGGCTTAAAGGATTTGCATTGATAAGCAGTATTTTAATGTAAGTTTTGTTAATTAAGTGTTGGCAAAAAGCTTAATGGTAATTAAATGACATGCAGTTTTCTACAGAATGGATTAACATTTCTGTCTTGCAGTAGCATGGTTATTATTTATCACTGACCAATATGCAAGCAAGTGTACTATTTTTAGTGGAATAAGTTGTGGAGTATAATGTGAAGACGACTGAATGAAATCTGGGTTTATTTTTTATATCCATTTCTATACCACTACAGTT